GGGGACAAACACTGCTGTGGAGGGAACGTGTGAAAAGGCCATAGTACTGTCAGTGAATGAGTAAGGCTGTGCTTTCTGTATGCTTCAAGCAGGGAAGCTGTCATTCACAGGCCTAGCACAGCTAAACAGAGGCCAAAACAGAAGACTCAAATACCTTTTAAAATGATATTAATTATTTTTAAACATTTTCTTCATTTACAGTTGCACATTACATGAATTCTTGTCCTGTCTGTTGGTAAACAAACACAAAATGTATTTTGACTGATAAAGAGAAAAAGAAATAGCATTAGTACCACAAAATTAGATTCCTTAAGGTTCATCATTCAGAGGGCAGAGGTGTAAATATCTGAGAATCACAAGTTGACCTAAAAAGCTCACTAATGTTCCTGAGTGTGTGCTGCAATTTTACTTTGGAAGTTTGTAGTAAAATACAGCTATAGTAATTTATGTATAACTTCACCTACAGTCCTATGGATTTCTATCTTCAACTTATATTGCGTTTATGTACTGTTATTTATTTTTTAACAATGGGAGGAGAGCATAATTACGCTATGAATTCATTAACTCTATCTCAAAATTACAGTAAATAGAAATTAATAATGTGAATCACTGCCAATTATATATGTTAAAGGAATGATGCAAGTATGAAAAATGTTGAAAGAAAAGCAAATGACAGACTAAAGCAATTGAGTGATTCTACATTCACCATGAGAATACCAACAAGTGCTGCTATGATCTGTGAACCTTTCTATTTCAAGCATATGTTTAATGGGATTCATAATGCCACTATTTTAAATTGTATAAAGGTGGAACATAAATTATTAACCCCACTATGTTTTTTTTTTACCTTTTTATCTGGCAATTTACACCATTTTAAAAATTCTGAGATATACTTATAGCCCCTATAATTCACAAGATGTTATCAGTTTTGTGGTATGGATCTATAAAAGCAGCACTGAATTAAAATAAGTAAAATATTGCAGTTATTCCTACAAGAAGAGAACTAAGATTGTATTATTATTTTTAAAGCTTTTGATTTGAAATTACTAGCTTAGATATTGATGCATGCTCACAAATTGTTTTTCATAAACTTCCCTGCTTATATTCTGTAACAGATACAACCTGATGTAACTATTTCTCAAGTTTTTAATGAGTTCCGTATGATTTTATATGCTAAGATTTCCAGTGAAATAGCTGTAATTACTTCTCAGTGGGTCTACAGGACCTCAGTACTTCACATTATAAATGTCAGAAAAATTAATTATGATAGAATCATTTATCTTGGGATTTTGAAGAAGTAAATACATTATTATTGTGTTTTTGTTTACTAAGTTTTGTATATAATTTTAGTGTAATTTTCTGCATATACTAAAGCAAGATATTGTTAGAGCTGTTCTATCAAAATATACTCTGCACAGTAATGCTGTTTTCTAAAAATTATA